CTGTTTCATTTATCCTTTCCAGCGGTCAGCCGGGATGGGCAGGGGGGATCATTGAATTGGGGCTGGGCTGCTTTCATTCTAGGTCTATAAAGAGATGGTGGCCACAGCCTGGCTCAGGCTTTATCATTGTTGGGGCGTTGTCTTTCTCTTCTATTCCACTGGCTGTACCAAAGGATACTGGGCAGGGTAAAACAGGAAGTGGCTCTGGTTATTGGCAACGTTTAGCGAACTGAATTTGATTTCTGGAATTAGGAGTTAACACTGCTCACAGATCTCAGAGGTTAATTCCAATGTTCGAGTGACATTGTGGTTATTTCTTGCGCGATTGATAAACAAAGGGGATTGGAGTAAGCCGTGTCAAATATGTCATTGGAAGAACTCGACAGCATCTCCAGAAATTTTGGCTCTTCTGTTTATAGCGTACTCATTTTTTTTTCAGCTGCAGCTGAAGTCGTAAACAACTCAGGTGGGCAGTCTCGAAGTGTGACATGTAATGTCATGATGTAGAAGGGATCTTTCTCCTTCACTGCACTGATGATGTGCAACCATACAGTGACCATGGAGAGGGCAAACTCACAAGAAAGATAGGTTGTTCCACTCTTTGGACACTACTGTGGACTACTCTTGTGGCATTCACTTGACGAAATCAAAAGGCAAATCGCGCAGTTACGGCCACCATGTACATTAACAGATAGTATGGCACAATTCCATGACGTTTCAGGGTCATGACCCTGAGCAGATACAGAGCTGTGCATCGCCAGCTCTGTTGTCAGGAACATATGGGATGGTTCTATTTTATTATAATGCGTGTTTAGGGAATTTTTTGATGTCTTCGAATTCGCCGTGTCCATTTTGCTACCTGGATGAGTTGGTATGCTCTGGCATGTCCTTTTGGCCGCCCTGCCAGGTTCTTCACGTTGCCAGTGTCAGCACAGCCTGCAAGGCTGCGCAACAAACGCTGTAGTTGATGAGTAAAGACAGTGGGGGCTGCTGGAAGAGGCGGGCAACTGTTTAGAACGAGGGCATAGGGCA